CAGGTTCCCTTATCAGGGTTATTCAATGCAGATGCGATTAGCATTGGAGATAAGACAATTCCTCTGCTATGCAGGAATGTCCCACCCACCATGAGACGCCCTCTATAAGGCCATTGATACTCATCAATGAGGGCTTTGTGAAATGATCATACTAAATCTTTTGTTTGTGCTGATTTTTCCTTCCACTCCTTTAAATATATATATATATATGTGTATATATATATGTGTATATATATATATGTATATATATATACACACACACATACACATATATATGTGTATATATATAAATTCACATATATATACACATATACATACACATATGTATATATGTGTATATATATACATATATATATATTAGTTTTGTATATTTATTCGTTGAGACTGAGTTCAATTTTCATTTCCTCAAGTTCCTAACTTCCAGCAGCTGAGATGACACCATATTTAATGCTCTTGAAGTCTACCACCACTGAGGTGCTTACATGCTAAGTGGCATTGCTTATGGATTTCTATGGTCTTTTGACTACTAGCAATCTGAGGTCAGGGGCTGTATTATATTTCTCTTTCAGTGTCTAGCACTCTACACAATGCCTGACATATTGTGGGTACTTGGGGATGTTGTTGAATCAAATGGTCCACCTCCTACGAATTCTGAGACTGGTAACCTTCATATTCTGACACAATCTTCCTTTGAGGCATTTCACATTGTTTAGAGCCTTGACTTCTCAGACTATACTTCCCATATCTATATAACTGGGGTCCGTTTTCTTCTAAAGACTATGAGAATGAAACAGGCCTGTGTGTGAAGGGACCAGGTTAGGTCAGTATCTGATACGCGGTGATGCTGGGTGGGGTGCTAGGTGGGGAGTTCCAAGAGCTACAGCACAGCAGAAAGATGCAACAGGGCTGTGCTCCAGGAACAGGATTCTGACCATGACACAGGAACAGGCGCTCCAGTTGTGCTTGAACTCACTTGTCCCTTCTGAACTTGCTATGGGTGCACTTCTTAAAGGATGTTCACTGTAGATATTTTCATCGGTTCTTGCTCTTGTTTTCATTTTGTTCCAGGTTAACTACTAGTTTTTATGGATAGTCTGTGTGGTTTCTCTTTTCTGCATTTCATCCTGCCATGGGATATGCCAACAAGAGAAACGATTCCAGGCCCTGCCATGGTAATAAAGTAAAACAGGCACAGAGTCCTCCTGCTGATCTATGTCACCTCCCTCTGTAACTTCCCAAACTGGCCATTCTAAATATTTGCCTTTCTCCTCAAGGACCCTACTCCAGGCCTCCTTTCTTGCCACATCCTATGGCCTCCCGTACCCTCACAAGCTCTCTCCAGATGTGTTGCTTTCTACCTCACAGAAGCTAGTAGGTGCAAACTCTCATCTTTCTGTGCCTCGCCCCTGCCCCTCCAACCAAATGCATCTGTAGCCATCATTCCCATTGTGGTGGAAGATGCCCCCTCCCCCCAAATCAAGGGTTGTCCTGCCACTGGATCCTGGATCCATCACCTCCTCCTCTGTGAAGATGACCATCCTTCACTTACCCTGAGCTCCTTCCCGAGTCTTCTATCCAACTTCTGACTTAACAGGTCTACTTGGATATCTAACATATAACTCAAATTTATGCTCAAAAACAAGCTTTTTCCAGTTGTTCAGGCCTAAAAATTTTAGTCATGATTTTTTTTCCCTCATACATCACATTCAATCTTTCAGCAAATCTTACAGCTTTTCCTTAAAAATATATCCAGAACCTTGGGGTGCCTGGGTGGCGCAGTCGGTTAGGCGTCCGACTTCAGCCAGGTCACGATCTCGCGGTCCGTGAGTTCGAGCCCCGCGTCAGGCTCTGGGCTGATGGCTCGGAGCCTGGAGCCTGTTTCCAATTCTGTGTCTCCCTCTCTCTCTGCCCCTCCCCCGTTCATGCTCTGTCTCTCTCTGTCCCAAAAAAAATAAATAAATGTTGAAAAAAAAATATATATATATATATCCAGAACCACTGCTTCAATCCTGGTGCAAGCCATCTGATTCATGTCTTGCCTGGATTTTATTGCACTAGCCTTCTTCTTCTTTTTAATGATTTTTAAAAATTTTATTATTTATTTATTTATTTTGTAGAGAGAGAGCATGTGAGTGAGGGAGAGGGGCAGAGGGAGAGAGAGAATTGTTTTTCAATGTCTACTTATTTTTGAGAGAAAGAGAGGTAGAGAGGGATGGGCAGAGAGAGATGGAGACACAGAATCCAAAGCAGGCTCCAGGCTCTGAGCTGTCAGCATGGAGCCTGATGTGAAGCTCGAACTCATGAACAGTGAGATCATGACCTGAGCTGCAGTCCAAGGCTCAACTGACTGAGCCACCCCGCGCCCGAGAGAGAGAGTCCTAAGCAGGTTCCACACACAGTGCAGAGCCTGACATAGGGCTCAATCCAATGACCCTTGGCTCATGACCAGAGCCGAAATCAAGAGTTGGAGGTTCAAATGACTGAGCCACCCAGGTGCCCCTACACTAGCCTTCTGAAATTAGCCTTCTAAACCTCCCGGCTTCTATCCTTGCCCCCTCTACTGTATTCTTAACAACTAGAGTGGTCTTGTTGAAATACAAGTTAGATGACACTCCTCTGCCTGAACCTCAAAACATGTTCCATCTCACTCAGAGCAAGGCCCAAACCTTTACAGGGACCTACAAAGCCCTGTGTGATCTGCAACTACTGCCTCTCAGGCCTTATTCTTCTACTCTGTGCCTAGCTCACTCTGCTCTAGCCCACTGGCCTGGCTTTCTTCAGCATGCCAGGGACATCCTTGCTTCAGGCTTATAACATCACCAGGGGTCCTTCCAGGTTTATCTCAACATTCGGACTTTAAGATTATCCTAACACTCATCTGGTACCAGAATCACTTAGAAAGATCCAGGATTAAAGTCACAGCTTGCCAGCAATGTGGCATCAGGCTTTCTACCTTTGGAGGAACCTTCTTAACTGTCTGTGTGGGATCCACACCCTGCCCAGGACCTCGTCTCTCCCCAGGCCCCTCCTCTCCGGATCATCTCAGGCACAAGGAAAAGAGATCCACTGGACATGGGGGTCTGCATTTACCCTGGCTTAAAAGGCTTATTATGTTCCAAAGAGACTAATCTCTGGTGTAACTCAATAGATACACTTTCTGTGTGTCAAGGGACATGCCCTGTTATAGGTGTCACCACAATCACAGAAGTCCGGTGGTGTGGCTTCCTACCAGGCATTTATCATTCTTCCAGTCCAGATGCAGTTGACCAAACAGTAGTCATTTATATCACAAGCAACGTTGCCTAGTAACACAGCTAACATTCTACTTTTATCAGGTCTCCAGGGAAACAGAGCTAGAAAGCTGAAGAAGTCAAATGTCAAGTTCTCCTGGAGAAGGGCAAGGAGTCTGTGAACACTCTGTCCATGTGTCTTTTGCTTTTGCTGTTCCCTCTGCCGGGGAGGCTCCTCTCTGGACATCTGCGTGGTCTGCTCCCACACTTCCTTCATCAGAAGTCACCCTCCCAGTGAAGGCTTCCTACGTGAGAATTGCAACTCCTAATATCACCTGCTGACACCATCCATGTATGCTGTATTTTCTTTTTCATTGTCCTTATTACCTTCTAATATATATAATTTATGAGCTGGTTTTGCTTATTTTGTTTTCCCATAAAATTTAAAGTCTATATGGCTGGGGCATTTGTCTTTTTTCTCCTGCACTGATAATTCTTAGCACCTAGGACAGTGCCTGGAACACAGTAGGTTCTTCAACAACTATTTGTTTTATTTATAAATGAATGTATGTCTTTTCTGTCTTTCAAATTCTGAATTTTCACTGGTATCCTTTTTTGGGGGGTAGAGAGAGGCCAAATGTTTTCAGCCTACAAATAAAAAGGGGCATGGTGTTAGAGATTAACACGCAGGCCAAACTGCCTGGGCCTCAGTAAAGGTTTTGCCACTCACCTTGGAGGTTTCCCTAATCTCTCAGTGCCTTTGTTGTCTCTCTGTAAGTGGGGATAATAATAGCGCCGATATCTCACTGTTGCCATGAGGATGAAATGAGTTAAAATATGTGTCAAGTATTCAGAAGAGTACCTGTCACTTAGGAAGCATTATGTGTTACCATTATTAAAATCAAATTTTAAAAGGCCTTTGTTTCCACTCTGCACCACTTCTAGATATTTCCCTTTCTTCCAAGTTTTTCTTCCTCTCAGCTGATCGGCCTGAAAGTCACACCTACGCCAGTCTTTAATTTCCATTCACTTTTCCAACCACTCAAACTATGATTTCGAATGACCCGGGTGCTACTTGTTTCTCCTTAGTCCGTGAGTGAGTTGTATGCCTGCCATCGTTGACCACACGTGTCTTTCCACTCTCTCCTGGGTTCCACCTCTCCATACGGCTGCCCCTTCTCAGTCTCCCTCAGAGGCACCCCTTTTTCCTTTGCTCACACGTTGGTATTCTTGACGTCATCTCTCTCTCCACATTCTCCCTGGTGACTCCATTCACAGGCATGGCTTCAACTCTCATGCTGATGACACCCAGTGAGTGCCAGCCCTACTGACAGTTTCCCAAAGGTGTCATGTTCTTCCTCACACCCATGACTTCAAGCTTTCTGTCTCCTTCCTGGCATCTTTTTCTACCCCTGGCTCCGTCTCCCTTAATACAGTTGGTTCTCCAAGTTTTAATACAACCATCACCTTTTCTCTCATTCCCAAGCCACGGGCCCCTCCTCTGCACTCTCTTAGTGCTTTATGGATGCCCCTATCATAGTAGAACACTTGACGGCCAGTTTATTTAGTTTTATACAAATATATATACATATATGAAAGTGCAGTGAATATGTTTTGGGCTCCCTTCCATGACTACAAACACCATACACAAGTAGAGCAGGACAACTAGTATTTACATGGCTGAAAATCATACCACCAGCTCTTTTTAAAGGTTTCAACAGCTTAGTGTCTTGCTCTGGCTCCCATTTTGATGTGAGTGTAGGCACCTACCTGCAGAGTACATCCGAACACACCGATCATCAGCATAGCTACCGAAAGGTAGTCGGTAAACACATCCCACCATGGTTTCAGCACACGGAAGGCAGGCTGCTGCTCAGAGAACTGTCGGAATTCTGTCACCGGAATCATGTTTCTGAGAAAGGAAAGGCTGTGAATTAATTTCTCTTCATGTACAACACACCACATTAACAGCATTGGACGTGCTGCTTCAACCCACGAGAAGCAGTGACCTGAATTAGTCCAGGAGTTGTCAAGGCACCTTGGTGTTTTATGAAACCATTGAATAACGCCACTGGTAGAGGAAATAAGCCCCACACGGAAATGGCAAATATTTGACTATTATCCCATAAGTGGGTTGCCTTTGGCTCCGCATGACCAGAAGGACCATGGCCAGAGCAGACCATTATTTCCTGGACCTTCCCTTCCCCTAAACAAAACATGAAGATGCCAGAGAGAACAGAGCCCAGCCTTTGAAATGCTTCTGTTATTTATCTTAGCATCCTGGGTTGCTGCTTTAAACTATTTTAAATGTAATCTCAGCATTGGTTTGTGTTAATTATTTACTAGTCTCTATTTGTAAAGCATTTACTTGCCCCCTGGGAAGGCAGACTGCTTTGCCACCTGGCCCTGGTCTTGTAAGATGGAAGGACCTCATTGGTTGTGGTTGTGGTTGTGGTAGGGGGAGGGGATGGCTTGCAAAGGACTTCACTTTTTCTTGCTTCCCATTTTTTGTCCCCGTGCTTTGTAAAACATTCCTTTCTTTTCTTTTCTTTCCTTTTCTTTTCTTTTACTGTTCATTTCTGAGAGAGAGAAAGCACGAGTGGGGAGGGACAGAGAGAGGGAGAGAGAGAATCCCAAGCAGGCTCTGCGATGTTAGCAGAGAGCCCCATGTGGGGCTTGATCTCATGAACCCACAAGATCATGACCTGAGCCGAAATCAAGAGTCAGACGTTCAACCAACTGAGCCACTCAGGCATCCTGTGCCTGTGCTTTTGACTTGATTTCTTTTTCTCTATTTTCTGTATTCTGCATATTTCACTGTGAACCTCACATTTATCCTGATTTTCTGCTCTGAGAAATGAGTTGTCCTTGGAAACGCCTATCTCTATCTCAACGACAGAAGATAAATGAGTAGGATGCAACTGAGGCTCCAGGAAAAAGGAGAAAGAGACACATCCTTCTTAGACTGTGTTGTCCTTTCTCATGGCTCAGTCCCACTGCCTTTCCTATGGTCCGGGACTTGAAGTTCATCACCCTGCTACGTGAGAAGAAATGTTCTGTTCTTATGACAATAAGGGTAGCCAGTGTGGGACAAAAAGAAAATTTCTCTCCCTTTTGCCACCTTTGGATCCAAGAATCTAGCTCTCTGCACCTGTCCTTATTACTCAGTCCTAATTACAGAGCAAGAGCAAGGCTGCGTTTTGCTGCTTATTCTCCCAAGCCTTGTTTATTTTGTGGATCTTCCCTTCCCTCATACTGAATTGAGGGCTGTACAATAAACAGCCCAAAGCCAAGCCAAGCCTCCTCTTTGAGTTCACAGGTGGTTATCTTTGGAAACGATTTTAATTATCCATTCTGTCTTGTTGCTTTAGCTGACTTCCTAAAGCGGCAATCTGTCTTCCTTCTAGGCTTTTTCCTTAACACAGTGTTGAAAATTTCAACTGCCTGCTGCCGCTCTCATCTGTGACTTGCCTAGTTGACATCCGTGCAGCATTTGATACGATTTTCTCATTTTATCAAAACACGACTTCCCTAACTTCATTCTGTTACTACCACTAGGCTGCAAGCTTCTTGAAGGAAGAACCTATATGCTATGCACGTGTGTTCTCAAAACATATGTTGCAGGTAAGCCATACAAGCTAAATTAAGAACTTTGCAGATTCCTAGTGTCCTTGACATTTCAGACTAGTTCATATTTCCTAACACTTCATGACCGCTTTGCTTCCCAGTGAGTCATTACAACCTCACTGCCCCAAGTGTTTCCTACTCATGGTTGGGCCAGTGACAGTCACAGAGGCTCTAACTCATCTTAACTTCCGAGTTCTGCTTCCAAAGCAGGCTCTGCGATGTCAGCACAGAGCCCCATGTGGGGCTTGATCTCACAAACACACAAGATCATGACCTGAGCCAAAATCAAGAGTCAGACGCTCAACCGACTGAGCCACATTGTCTCATTCCATTTTGCATTCCCATCACTGACCACAGCACCTGGCAAACAGGAGCAGGGCCTGAACAACTGCTGTTGAGTAAGTGAATGACTGAATTCAGATGCTTGTTCATGGAGCTCTGCTCACCCAAATGAGATTGGAGGTGACCCCAGCCAGCTGCAGTGACAGTGCTAATGAGGGCAGTATACCTGTGTGCTAGTCCACATTCTTTGACAGATTTGGTGGTTGTTTCCTTCATGGTGAGTCCCTGTACACCTTTGGAGGAACTGGGCTTGTTTTTTGAAGTGAGGACCAATCTCAGGAATAAAATGCACCAATGTAAAGCAGTGGCTTTCAAATGTTTTGATCTCAGGTCACTTTCACCCTCTGAAATGTAGAAGGACCTCAAGGAGCATTTTTTTTTTTTAATTTATTTTTTATTTTTTATTTTTTTAATGTTTATTTGTTTTTGAGACAGAGGGAGACAGAACATGAGTTGGGGAGGGGCATAGAGAAAGGGAGACACAGAATCTGAAACAGGTTCCGGGCTCTGAGCTGTCAGCACAGAGCCCGACGCGGGGCTCGAACCCACGAACCGTGAGATCATGGCCTGAGCTGACGTCGGACGCTCAACCGACTGAGCCACCCAGGCACCCCAGGGAGCATTTTTTTATGTGGATCACACCACTTAACATTTACTGTATTAGAAATTTAAACCGGGGCGCCTGGGTGGCTCAGTCGGTTGAGCGGCCGAGTTCGGCTCAGGTCACGATCTCACACTCTGTGAGTTCAAGCCCCGCGTCGGGCTCTGTGCTGACAGCTCAGAGCCTGGAGCCTGTTTCAGATTCTGTGTCTCCCTCTCTCTCTGACCCTCCCCCGTTCATGCTCTGTCTCTCCCTGTCTCAAAAATAAATAAACATTAGAAAAAAAAAAAAAGAAATTTAAACCAAGAAAGTTTAAATATATACACCAAGTTAAAAATAAACCCATTACATGTTGATTATAACTAGTCTCCAAAAAACAAAAAAAAAAAAAAAAGAGAGAGCGAGAGAGAAGCATGGCTTTCCACTTTTGCAAATCTCTTTAACATTAGGCTTAATGGAAGATAGCTAGATTATCGTATCTGCTTCTGCATTCTGTCTGTTGCAATGTTATTTTGATCGAAATTTATGAATCCAATAGATAGGCAGTTGGAAAATAGAGTATCTTAACAGCCTTTTCATATAATTGTGGATATTAACTTTTGATATCAAACTGACCTAGTTAGTTGCAATATGGAATCTGAAAACTATATCAACAAACTTTTCAAACTTCATGATATGTTGGTATTTGGTCATCTGGAAAATATTGGATTGCTGAATTATGCAGATCTTCCAAATGTTGACAAATTATGTAAAAAAAAATCACATTCATTAATATCATTACTGCTTTCACGAGAAAAGTTTTAAGGAATGGGAATTCTAATCACCACCTGAAAGTTTGAAGTTTGTGGTAGCAAATGGTATCAGATGTTTTCCTTAAAGCATTAGGCTCACTTCATTCATTTCGAGAAAATATCTTCCACAGGCTAAAGTCTGAGTAATCAGTTGTTTTATTCAAGTAACAGTGACATAATACGATAAAGGAGCTAACTCAACTTTCAACTCAAATGAGGACTTTTCCTTGAGACAACCGCTGTACTGTGGAATGTACCAGAAATGCTTTATGTATTCTTCTCCTTTGTCATACAGCACATTAATACAGTGTGTAGCCAAGGCTTATGAGTTATTTAAATAATTTTAATGCAACAATGGGGAGACTAAATAAAACTGGCATTTAAGTTGTAAGTGTATGCTAATGAAGAATGTAATCACCACAGCACAGTCTGATACCTCTATCTTGGTTCGTGCTAAGGTGCATTACCCACCACTGCTTTGGCACCATAAGCGAAAAAGGCAAAAATAAAAAATAAAAAAATAAAAATAAATCTGAGCATGACAAAATAGTTTTGACCTTGTGACTCCCGGTTTAGGCCACCAGGGTTCCATCAACCACACTTTGAGAAGCACTGAGGTAGAGGCTCACTGTTCTTTCATCGACAGCTCTTGTTGAGAAAGCAAAGCATAGGCACTCAGCAAAGGCCATGTTCTCTGAGTCCTTGGCTACATTGCCTTCACAGGCATTAGTCTTTTTAATGTGGAAAATAAAGACAAACTAAGGAATCTAAGAAACTTAAATAGTATGTACTGCCTCCCCATACTGGCACAACCTAACTAAGATGGGTTTTTAGAGAAGCTGCCGGCCAAGATGACACAGCCTTTTTGTTAGAGCTCTTAACACACTTCACCGCTTTTGGGTAAGTGTATGTATGTGTCCATGTTTATGGCCATGCCATATATGCGTGTACACACATACTCCACATGAATGTACATACACAGATCTGCCCTACACACACAGAGACTTTATTATTTTAACATATCACAGGGCTCATCCTTGTAATTATTTTTGACACAACAAAAGGGTGGGGATAAAGAAGTTGACTAAACAACTCCAAAAACTAAAGAGAGAGCAGATGGACCTTGTGCTTGCTGATTGAAAACAAAAATTTATTTTGTATTCTTCTTTCAAAAATTTCAGCAGCTCTGAAGACCTGCATTATCAGTGGCTACCCTGGATTTCTCTTTCATTACTATTGTGGCTTCCAATGGATTTGTTACCATTTCAAGAGTTACTGTTTCAAGCTCAGGGAGTCACCACTGAATCAACTGCTTGGGTTTAAATACAGTCTTTTCCCCTAGAGATCAATCAGCATAATTTTATTTCTATTTAACTTTTTTCTATTTTGGAATTTTGTCCAACTTTGATTTCCAACTTATTATGTAAGAGCTTAGTTTACCTAATTAAAAAATGCCTTTGGAAATATGGCATTGCATTTCAATCATGAGATTCTGGAGTCCTAATTAAAATTATATAAATTTTACATTATGTTATAGAGCTGCCTCTGTGT